AACACACTGAAAGGTAAGACCAGCTGTCAAGCAATCGACCTAGATCCATAAATGTTGACGGTAGATTGGAATCGTTGATGTCTTTTTGATTTTTGATTGCTTCAAAACCTTTTTTTACTCAAAACCAAATTTGGATATCACAGTGATAAGATAGTAGTTAATAGAAAATAACAGTACTTTGGGTTAGTGTGTTTTAATTTAGCGCTGGCAATGTCGTTTAGTTTGTGGATGTTTAGAGTATGGTTTTCATTACTTCAACACACATCTGTATTTAAACCTAGATTGTATACTTAGAGAGCAGTTTCAGGGACAGACTAATTCACCCTCACTGTGTGAAGGAGAGGTTCCACAGATCTTTCTTTGCTGCTGTCAGACTGTACAATAAGAACTGCTGAGCCTGTAAATGTCATTCTTCTGTAAATAAGTAAATACTAAAATCATGTGCAATACTGCAACTTCAGAATGTCACTGAACACCACTTGTTTTTTTTTTGAAATACTTTTATTGAAGCATTTACAGTTAGCTAGGAAACATAGCTACTACTTATTTTGGATATTTTGTGTGCTCCCTGTCTGCCTTCACTACTGTCCCGTATGTGCGCTGCAACATTGACATTTCCCCACCGTGGGACGAATAAAGGACCTCTTATCTTATCTTATTAGGAAAGAAGAATCACCGCAGATTGGAGTTTTTGTCTAACATCTTTTCCGTCTGTTACAAATCTAATCAATACCGTTTTATCTCTAGTCATAATCTAAGTAACGGTAAAGAAAACTAAGTGAGTGAAAAGTTATAAGGACGACAGAAGCCAGTTAAACTTGAAATTGGACTTTTAGAAGGTGGCTCTCTTGGAATGCATTGCCTGCCCGTCCACGGTTAGCATTACCCCAAGTGATAAAAACCGTTATTAAAACCTTTTTCACCCATGAATCCAGTCAAACCTTCCCATTACCTTTTTAACTTTTCTAATTAGTGGAACATGGACAGAGAAGTAGCTGTCATCAAAAGGGTATTGATGAACATGCAGCGTTGGGACAAAAATGGCGTCCAGAGACAAACCAGCGATCCGTGGTGATGGTGTCTGGAGGCCATGCTTCTTCAGCCGAGTCCGGTTTTAGCATGCAAAAATATGCATTAGACGATCAAATCTGGTGTTAATCCTATTTCCCATACATCTGATCATTTTGTAAGTGAGTTGAGCAGGAATCTTGGGCTTTAGGGAGATGTTTTTCACCTGATAGGATTTGGAACCCTCTGGAATTCTCAGTTCACTTAAATGAAACTAAATAGAACCCTGAGTCCACTAACTTGGCTCTGTTGAAATTTAATTTAACTTTTGGTTGGTTGCTTGATAATGTAACTTAATATTGTTGTGTATGAAAGGAAGAAAATGACAAACCCTCTAAACATTATGTTTTGCTCACAGTATGCAGTGTTCGATATCTTTGTATATTTAATTTTATTGATAAATTGAGTTTCCGTAATGATTTAATTATTACTATAGTAGTAATACAGTTATCAGATCTGTCAACTGTGGATTCTGATTATATACAATCACCCTATTTATATAAAAAAACAATAATGAATTATTTTTTTTACAATCGTTTTGATATGTCACGGGTTAGAATGTACATATATACAATACGATACAATTTATTCTTGTATAGCCCTAAATCACAACAGAAGTCATCTCAGAGGACTTAACAAAACCATTGAAATTACCAACACAAATCAGAGAATCAACAGTTAAAACTTAAAAAGAATATAGAACACATGTTGAAAAAAATGTCCATGTTGTAGACTGTTAAAGTGTCCTGGATCATCACCACATACTTTTTGTTGGACACTACCTCACAGACCCTCCTGCATCGGCAAGGAAAAGCTCATAAATATATGTACTGTATGTTATTGTATAGAACATAATTTCACATAAGAAATGGCCAATATTCCAAAATTATCTTGTATTTTTGATTCTATAAATTGAGTATGTAAAATCCTGACATATTCTATCTGCATATAATGGTCACAAGCATCGTATTCCAGCACAATGAAGTCAAATCTACATTTACAAACTCAGTGTTTTATATTAATTGAATGACAGATACGTTGTGACAGAAGGTGGCGTTCAGCGATCACAGTGTTCAGCCGCCTCTATGAGCCCTCGCAGTCACCCTCCGTTTTGCACATTACACTAAAGCCTTCGCTAAGTATCTCCCAAAGTCAACAAGTGACAATTTGTAAAGTGCTTTGTACACCGGGGGCCTCTTGTCCCCTTGGCCCTTCTGCAATCCCCCTCTCCCCCTCCCTCTTTTGAGCGCGTGGCGTGGAGGGCCGCAGATGCCATTCCCCCTGGACCTAGCAGAGGTTAATGATCTCTCCGCCTCTTCCTATAATAAATAAATCATTTCCAGTCATGAGGCCGCGCATAAATCTGCACTCAAGCATCCATTTGCTGGAACAAGCGCCACCAGTTGCTAATCACTGTGTTTTTGTTCCCCTCGCTTTGTGAAGGAGAGGTTCCACGTAGGTCTTTCCTTCCTGCTGCTGTCAGACAACGAAACATGTCGTGCATCTGTGCAATAATCATTTGAATAATGTCAGAAGTGCAATACAGAACCACATGTGTCCAATGTCACACATAGTTTTTTTATTATCTTGTGTTGTGTGCTACTCATACCCGACTGTTTTCATTCCACTACAACATTGGTCTCTTACACTGCAAAAAAGTCAACAGAGAGATGTCTTGCTAAAGCCTGGTTGAAATTGGGTCTGAAATACTGTGATGTATATTTTCTGAGATGATTTCTCCTCTTGTAACTGGTGATGCAATACTGAAATATCCCCACTGTGGGACAAATAAAGTATCTCTTAATCTTAATCCCAATCAATTTTTTTTTTATTTTGTTCCCCCACTTCATTTCCCCGTGATCGCCCGAGGGGATATACACAGTGACACATATGAGTTCACTCCCTTTCCACTGCTCCACCCACTGTCTCTCCCCATATAAGCGTCCGTTTGTGGCTTTTCTAATAAGTGTAGTATCAGGGGACGCGGGGGAATGGGTGGAGGAGGCATTGTACGTGACATAGCTAGTTGTTTCTTGTATCCTTTCAGCTGCAGAGACACATGCATACACGCGCTAATGGGAACCAGGGAGGCTGTCAAACCCAATACGGCCTCCGCTGCATCAGCACACTGATGCAGCGTATTATGCAAAGCAGCACATTGAAATGCACAGGAGGTAATAACATGCTATTTCTGATTTGTTCTGATTACGCTTCACATGATAGATCTGGACCAGTCAGCTCGCGCGTGTGGAGTGAGTGAGTGAGTGGCCCAGGACAGGCCCAGGATATAGTGCTATAGTTAACCTTGTCTGTAACAGTTGGATTTTCATTGAATGGGGGAAAACCTATTAACACTCAAACATTTGATGTGGAAACAGAGAAAAGGTGGAGCCCTGAAAGTTTACAAGAGCCAGAGGACTACTGATATCAATAACAGAAATAAATACAAGAAAATGAGGGTGATAAATGGAAGGAAATGTGTATGTGCTACATAGTAAAAAAAACAAAAACATATTTGCATACGTTATGGGAAAACATTTCATATAGTTTTAATAAAGTCATGATTATAAAAATGCATTGAAATACCTTCATTTTCATTGCAGTTCATTGTAAAGAGGACATAATTATTATTTTTATATTTTCTCTAAGAAATATAAATGTTGTTAATATGGATACATTTTTTATGAATTTATCTATATGTCTTAGTTTACTCTTAATTAATTATCAACAATATTGCAATTAAATGTTGTAATACAGCAAAAAATGAAAACCTTCAAATATTTACACCCTAAATAAATCCCTGAAATAATAGTACTATTAATAATAATAATTTCAGTTCGCAGACAGTGTATGTTTGTATGTATGTAAAAAAAAACAAATGATGTTCTTTTTTCCAGTTAATTATTTTTATATATATATTTTTTTTTTTACATAATGAAGTAAGCCATGTGCGTGCTCATTGACAGGTTGGAGTACTTGCACTACAGTCGCTGCTACATTAATTAACACTGCGCTTGTAGCTTTAGCGGCTAAAGTAGTGTCATCAATAGACAAGTGTAATCAATGCTCCCATTCACCGCTAATTGAGACAATCACACTTCAGCTGTAAAATTGACACGATTGGCCTTTTGTGTCAGGACACGGACCACCAACTCGCTACAACATGATTTTAATAGTCCATTCAAGTCTTCCGCCTCTCTAAACCAAGTTATTTTTATTCCCTTGGCTGCAAAATGTTTATATTTCAAGGTGAAAGGAGTCAAAGTAGATCTAATCACTTCATATGTATTGACTGGTTTGAGGTGTGAAAAAAAGATGCCACGGTACATAAATAAAGTCATTACCAGAGCCTAGAACAGAGGTGCCACGATTTTGGCTTTTATCCACCACAACAAAAAGGGAGGAAGACAGAGAAAGGCAAACGCAACAAAACACGACAGGGAGAGCCAGGCGCCCTGCTTTTCTTTGCTTTAAAATGCTGCATTAGGTCTTTTGGTGCCGTCAGTTTTCATAGTTCAAAGCTGGCAGTTCAATAAATAGCTGGAACTGGCACATCTCTGTTCTTGCAAAAAGAAATCAATGTTAATCCTATTACCGGCAGTTATCACCTAGCCCAGAGACGCTAGCAAGTGTGGGGGAAAAAAAAAACTAGATGTCAAAGCCGGCAGAGAGGGGAGAAAGGGAGAGCGAGGCAGTCACCGTTCATTCACTTTCAAACACACTTTTGATAATTTACTTCTGAGGACGGGGGAGGCAGGGAAGCGACGGGGGAGGCAGGGAAGCGACGGGGGAGAGGGAAGGCGACAGTAATACCAGGTGTGTGTGTGGAGAGGGAGTCGGAGCGAGGAGGGGTCCAAGGCGACTGATGTATTCCCACATAATGCTTGGATCAGACCCTGCTGCTGTAAGCAAGATGTTTGAGGCACAAAACATCATTTTTCAGAACTGTTCACATAGCGCTTAGCAATCCTCCCGCGGAGCCCTGACACCTGGCCTCTCACCCCGCTCCTCTCCACTCTGCGGGCCTTCGATCCGAGGGTCCACACACCGGGGCCGTGCGGGCAGGAGCAGGGCTGGAGAGGGCTGCAGCAGGACTGGGGCAGGTGGGAGCTATGGTGGTAGAGCTACAGGCAAGACAAGACAAGAGGAAATGCATTTTGACAATTTTAACGCACAAATTTACTTCAATTATTTAAGTCCTTTCCATGGACAAATAGTCTTCTTTACAGAAAGTTGTTATTGTTTTTGTGAGAAGATTCTTGTTATTTTTATCATTTTTTAAACACCTTCAGACACGCTTATCGAATAATCAATTACAACGTTGGTGCCTTTATCAATGGGTTTATATTTGTGGCCTTTAAGGCTTATTTTTTACTTACATGCTTTCAGATTGTAGCCCCATATACCACCAAATTGCAGTTTTGTTTTTGTTGTATTTTTTTGACAAGACAAGATGTAATGTAATCTGACTATTTTGACATTTTTATTCATGTTTATATTTATTTGATATGGAAACAACAGTTACATGGGACTGACCAGATGCACTGCCTTTAGTGCAATAGCAAGACCATGCTAATTTATAACACCCCATAGGAGGATAATAAAATACATTGTCTATTTCAGAAAATTATAGTTTAGGCCTCTTCAAATTGTTTGAGTTGTTGTTTTCAAATTGTTTGAGTTTGATTTGAGTCAGAGGTATAATATATTACATATTTATGGCCCTGGTAATAAAACTTATTTCCTACTTGAATTCTTTCTGACTGTAACCTCATTAACTGTGAGTGCAGTTGAATATTTTAGTTTTTTTAATCCAAACATACTGACATCATACTTCTACAATGACACCATACTTCACTTTCACTACATGTTACTGACTTTAACACGCGTTAACAATTGTATGTGACAAATTAATTATCTATTCTACTACTTTTTATAGGACTCTGCTTTCATGAAATCTCAGAGACATGTTAATTCTTGCTTCTCACTGAAAAAAGACAAAATGGGCTGCTCAACACGGACACAAATGGTTTCACTCTGCAAAATAAACATTAAATCCAACGTTCAATTTAAGATTACGTTTTCTAAATCAGTTTTGAACACAACTTTGAGTGGAAAGGCAGGGTTCGCAGCAGTTTAGCACAAGTCCCATTTGTGTTCAAAAAATAAATATTGAACACACTTAAAAGACAAAAAACTCTATTACAATCTTTTTTGAATGCTTGACAAAATATTTTGCCAATTTGTATTAATACACACTTCACAGAGCAGACAAAAAGATGATCAAAGTGCTTTCAAATACAAATCTGTAGTTAGAAGCTCATCAAAAGCCCTCATAGTTAATATAATAAAAGCACAGATCCGTTGTGGCGTCTCCCATAGTTCACCACTCGTCTCCAGTGTCGTGCACAGTTGGAGCATTCTTTCAAATGGAGTCAAACAAAACCTGCAAGTGCCATTAAAAAAACACATTTCTCCAAAGAACAGGAATGCTGGGATTAGGCCTAATCACTGTCAGCAGGAACCGAGCCGGGCGGATTAACTTCTCCAGTGTTGTTGTCCTTATTGTTATTGCTCTAAAATAATTACAGCTGAATCTCAAGCAAAGCCCATTCAACTCTTGGCAGGACTCTTTCCCTCTTTTTTCTTTTAATACTTTTAACCTGAGTTATTCCATATTCAAGTACAAACGAGCTAGTTAATACACAAAGTGAAAGGAAATTGATGCTGCTTTAATGGAAATGTGCATATACAGTGAAAAGTGTGTGTGTGCGCCTGCGTATGTGTGTGTGTGCGTCTGCATGTGTGTGTGTGTGTGTGCTGCTTTCAAATACTCTTGTTCCAAAAAGAATGACAAAATAATATATGCGTTGCTGACACCAGAGTTTCACCTTGACTTGACTGACTTTTTGCATGAATTTATTTCCCCAGCGCTGCGTAAAAAAAAAAAAGCAAGTGACCCCCATTCCAGGTCCGGGGCCCGTTCCTGATGCCCATATAATAAATGAGATGTAGATGCAAAAAGGCTTTAACATGTAAAATAGTGGTGACATGCTAAATAATGAGGCGGAGTGGAATTACGTTTGAGTAGTGTGTGTGCGGGAAGGGGAGGGGACTCTGGGGTATATTCCCGGCTGCGGGACGGGGGGGGGGAGGAGGGCCTCTGAGTCGCTTCAAAAGGGGGAGGGAAAAATGCGACGCCCAAAGCTACATTACAAAGCACTCATTTTGCTATTGAAGACCGTTTGGGGAATATGTCGCGGCGTTATGGCTGTAATGTAAACAGATTATGTGGCGAGAAATGCAGGCGGCAGAATAGGCCTGGGTTAAGACAATTGACAGGGTGATATTGTGTATAAATGTGTTCAGGAGCACGGGGACTGGCCTCCTGCTGGGAGTCTGAGGAGCACAGGGACTGGCCTCCTGCTGGTGCTCAGAGTTAGGACTAAACACACAGGAGCAGCAGTTCAGAAGTATGCAGCTAAAAAATGGAACCGTCTTCCCGAGGTTGTGAGACAGAACTCTACCCTGACTATGTTAAGATAAAGTCGGTAATAGACATATAATATTAAACAGCTTCTTTTTATGGCAAGGCAAGTTTATTTATATAGCACAATTCATACACAAGGCAACTCAAAGTGCTGAACAAAACAAGAAAGCATTAAAATCATACTAATCACAGGACACTAAAAAGGAAGATAAAAATATACAATCCCTCAGTTGTATGCACAGCTAAACAGAACTGTTTTTAACCTGGTTTTAAACATTGTCAGAGAGGAGGCCTGTCTCACATCTTCAGGAAGATTGTTCCAGATTTTAGCAGCATGAATCTGAAAAGCAGCCTCCCCATGTTTAGTTCTGACTCTGGGCACTAACAGGAGTCCAGTCCCTGTGCTCCTCAGAGTCCGGGCTGGTTCATATGGTACTAACATGTCACTAATATATTTTGGTGCGAGGCCATGGAGAGACTTGTACACAAGCAGAGCTGTTTTAAAGTCTATTCTCTGAGCCACAGGAAGCCAGTGCAGAGACCTGAGGACTGGACTAATGTGGTCGTACTTCCTGGTTCTAGTGAGACTCGAGCTGCTGAATTTTGAATGTACTGCAGCTGTTTTACAGCCTGTTTGGACAGACCTGTGAGCAGGCCATTGCAGTAGTCTAACCTACTGGAGACAAATGCATGGATAAGAATCTCCAAGTCTGCTTTAGACACTGTTTTTGATCCTGGCAATGTTTTTTAGATGGTAAAAAGCTGCTGATGTTACTGATTTGATGTGGCTATTAAAATTTAAGTCCAGTATTACCCCTAGATTTCTGACCTTGTTTGAAGGTTTTAGGGAGAGAAACTGGAGGTGACAGATGATGCTCTCTCTTTGTTTCTGGGGACCAAAAACAATCATTTCAATTTTGTCTGCGTTTAGCTGAAGGAAGTTGTTTTGCATCCACTCACTGATCTGTTGGATACAGTGAAGGAGTGAGTCCACTGGTCCTGCAGTCAGTGAGACATAGATCTGAGTGTCGTCTGCATAGTTATTATTGGAAACTTAGTTTCTACGTATTAACTGACCTAACGGCAGCATGTAGAGATTGAACAGAAGAGGTCCCAGGATCGACCCCTGTGGGACTCCACAGGTCAGGGCCATATGATCTCAGACACAGTTTCCAATCTCCACAAAGTACTTCCTGTCTTCAAGGTAAGACCTAAACCAACTTAGGGCGGTGCCAGCGACGCCAACCCAGTCCTCTAGTCTCTGTAAGAGGATCTCATGGTCGACGGTGTCAAAGGCAGCACTTAGATCTAACAAGATTAAGATTGAGACTTGGCCTGCGTCAGTGTTCAGCCGGATATCATTTGTAACCTTGACGAGAGCAGTCTCAGTGCTGTGGTGGGGTCTAAAGCCGGACTGAAACATATCAAATGAGTTGTTGATTATAAGAAATCTAGTAAGCTGTAGGTAGACAACTTTTTCAAGGACTTTCCCCATAAATGGCAGATTTGAGATGGGACAATAGTTGTTAAGTACCGTAAATTTATTACAAACAGCAAAAATACTCCCAGATCAGATCGGATTGACTCCATAGAGCAGCAGAAGCAGAGAGAGAGGAAGGAAAATACATGACAAAAATATAAGTAGGTTAGCAGGGGCCTGATGACTGCAGTTTTCAGGGCCTTTGGGAATATTCCAGAATGAAGGGACATGTTTACTATCTGTGTGAGTGAAGGTAACAGACTGCTCAGAACAGACCTCAGAAATCTAGTGGGTAGTACATCCAGGCTGCATGTGGAGGAGCTCAAACTGGAGATTATCTCTTGGACAGTTTGATCATCTACAGGTGCAAAGTGAGTTAGCTCAAAGAGCCTTTCTGGCTGTTGGATTGTTATCTGTGGATTGGAGACAAAGGCGTTTTCGATGCCTTGAACCTTGTCATTGAAAAAGTGTGCAAACTCATTGCATTTACGTTTGGAAGTTAGCTCTATTGGCATCTGAACAGGGGGGTTTGTTAATCTATTAACTGTTGAAAACAGATCACGCAGATTGTTACTGCAGCCTTCAATCATTTCAGAAAAATACCTTTCTCTCGTACTACGTAGCACCCGGTTAAACTCGCACAACTTATCCTTGAAGATCTTGTAATCAACCTGGAGGTTGGACTTGCGCAACTTCCGGTCGGCCCTCCGGCACTCTCTCTTTTGTGCCCGGACCGAGTCTGCTTTAGCCCACGGCGCATTCTGCTTATTTTTCACTATTTTAACCTTCACAGGGGCAACGGTATCCAGAACATTCAAAACACTAGAGGTGACAGAGTTAAACAGTTCATCTACAGTAGAATACGATGCATTCTCAAAGTTTATCATTCCCATAAATAGTTCAGTCGTATTTTCATTTATGTGTCTTCTTCGAACGGTTGCAGAGTCCACTGGTGGTTTGTTAGTGAAACACATGTCAAAAAATACACAAAAATGCCAGAGTTTGAGACTTTCTTTTTGTATATAGTGTTATTATTGGAAAACTGTGCATACTACTAATCTATTTTGTACTATTTATGTCCTTTTATCCCCCAATTTATGAAGAGTTTTAAGTAAGTAAGTAATGTGGGCGCATCAGCCCACAATCAACACCATCCATTCACTCTCTCATTTACATTCATACCTATTGTGCATGTTTTTCGTGGTAGAGGAAACCGGTGCACCCGAAGGAAACCTACGCAAGCATGGGGAGAACATGCAAACTCCACTCAGAAAGGGCCTGTATCGACCGGGAATCGAACCCAGGACCTTCTTGCTGAGAAGCGAGAGTGCTGTCCACTCAGCCACCGTGCCGCCCAATACTTCTATGCTGCACTGTTGTATATTGATGTGTGTGTACTGCCTTTATGATCTGTTTTGATCCATATTATTATTTTTGCATTTATATGTGTTGCACTGTGAATTGCCATGTACACAAATTGTGCTATACAAATAAATGTTGATTGAAGATTCATTTTGTAGTTGAGCAAGACTGTTAGATTATTCATGTATACATAGTGAATCATCATTTCAATCTGGAGAGACTTTATGAACACAAAATGTCATTAAATGAGTTTATTCATTAGTTTGTTTGGCCCCCTAGGCCCCGGCAGCGGCACTTTGTCTGTGATGATCCTTCCTTGTGTGCCGCTTATAATCCCCCGGGATCTAGGTACTGGTGGTGGCATGGGGTGCAGGTACTGGAGGTAGCATGAGGGTGAATTTGAGATGAGAGAATGCGCTAGAAGGTCGAGGTGACTCCAGAACGACTCCTTGCGAGGTTTGGAAAAAGGGTTTGATGTTGGGAAGTTTCCTCTTTTAACC